CAGTTGATATATGTTGGGGTAGTTTTAAGTTGAGATGGCCTAATTGTAAGTGCAAAGTCTTTACCCTCCTCTCCTTTTTTCTTCACCCGGTTGTGTCAAGTCATGGTGAAGAGCCTATTGCCCTAATTACTAGTGGGTTTTGCTTTGCAGGTGGTGGAAGTGCGCTTTCCTCGCGCCCTTGGATTGCTTATAGAAAGGGGGTTTTGGTTGGGAGGGTGAAACAAAAGTGTAATATGGAAACAGGGTGGTACTCTTAAATTCAATGAAGTGATTTGTGTTTTCCCTTTCGCAAGTGCATTTGCTTCAGTTCATCAGCTGTTATTATCATGAGGGTGGTAGGAACGTTTTGTTTCTATGTGAGGGGATTGATCCATTTGGAATGAATATAAACCAGATTGTTGCCATGTTGGTGAACCGCTGCGATGCTGTATGTAGCAACATATCAGCTGTGCTTGGTTTACCTTACTGTCTGCTATCGAGAACCAGCTAGGTCGACCATCACCAAGCAACCAGCTCATGACAGTTGTTTGTCTTGTGAGATGGTGAATGATTGAGATTCTGTGTGGACATGGTGATGGGTTTGGTTACTGTCTTAGCTAACATGGGTTGGTGTAGTTGTGAAGAAATCCAGTTGCCAGTTGCCAGCATCTCTGTTGGGCCATACCCATGCTCATGCATCAGCCCATTGCTTCCATTTTCTGTTTACTTTAACTAACGGTCAACTTACCATCATTTCTTGAATAAGGATGGTTAGGAGAAAGTGAAACCTCTAGTACAATAAGATTAACTTAACTAGTATAAAATGTAATCCGTTCAAAGAGGTTTACATAGGTTGAGAAACACTATAATAGTAAACATTATTATAATAAGGTAACACGCCGTGAACATTCAGAATTCTCGTTAATCTAAAATTTATTGTTTGTATCGATAAATTAAGCTACTATTGTTTGTCGCATTAGTAGATTCAATTTAGTGATTCGTATGTATGTGGTACTGATTTCATATACATCTTACACATTCTTGTTTCCGTGGATTTGGTAGTTTGCTCTATTCGAGACATTTGAAACTAGAGATGTTATGCATTTGATGTTAGTTTATTTATTTATTTATAAGGGTGACTTATGTTTACATTTTGTGGCTAGGTGTTACTTAAGAGTTAATAGAGTTGAATTTGGGATCTCCGGATTTAACACCGGTGGACTGGATGTCAAGTTAGTATGCGCTTGATATAAATACATTATTGACGTGATTTACTAGTATGGTTTATGTTAGTCATATAAGTAGAAGAGATAAGTTTTTGCTATTTTTAAAGAAAATACTAAGTAAAAAAAAATTATATGTTATATATAAAATCCCACCGTAATTTTTGTTTTTGTTTTGTTTGTAAAGGTGCTGCTTTGTTTTTTTGTATTTGAATTTTGTGAAGGTACTTTAAGCTAAAAGCTAGTTGCAACTTGCATATTCGTATGTTATCATTTTTGGCTTTTCTTATGTTACTAGCTTTTACCCGACCCGTTGGTCGGATCAATTTCATTCTATTTCGTATAATTTATTTTATCAATATTTATGATTTACTTGATTTGAGATCTTTAATTTTATATGATTCACGAAAAATATTTGTGGTTTTAAGAGTTGACAATGACGTAAAAGGATAGTCCAAGCTATTATATTGACCAAAATCTCAAATATTTGAAGTATTTATTTGAAATTTTATTAAATAAAACACTTGTTGATTCAAATATACAATCGTTTGTCGTGAAAATGGGATTTTATGAAAAAAGATTCACGACTTCATAAAGAAAGAAAACCAATTTGATATTCAATAACAAATGTGAACATCGTTTGGATCATATATTTCAGTTATGTATTTGGTATCTAAATTCAACACATGCGAGATTTGTCTAACTCCTAAATTTGGAAGTAGGTGCTAAAACTCTAATCAAATCAAAGGTCAAGGATGAAAAGTTTTGCTATCGAATTTGAAATTTGTTGGTCCCATTAATTTGGAATAAGTGACATCCATAAATTAGATTTGTAAATCGAGCATTCAAAGAGACCGATGAGAAAGACATAAAAGTAAAGAAAACAGTAAAACCATCCAAACAACAAACCTGGGAAGAATTATCATGGTGCCATATTAGCCAACATACAATACATTATTATTAGTTGATTAAAAACATGTCATCTTCAAGATTCTCTGGCAATCTCATGGTTTATTGATTAAAACGCGATTCCCAATATGAGAAATCTGTATGTGATCTGGTCACAATTATCTTTTCGCCTATGTTGGTCCTTGCAATTAACAACCCATAACAAAATGAGCTAGCATGTGGCATAGTTATAAGGTATATGCACAAAAGTGAGTTATTAAATGTCCAATGGATCAGGAAGTAAACATTAATAACCCGCTTAGCAATCATCCATATTAGCACAGAACATAGTCATCGAAGTAGCTGTTGTTTTAAGAATTAATTAGTGGGTTGAAACTAATATTAGTGGGTAGAAACTAATATTTCTCCAACTCCCTTCTGTATCCCTCCACCGATGAAACCCAGCCTTCGCTAGGGATGGTTGGGGCGGGTTTGCCTAAACCATCCCCATTCCCATTACCAAATACCCAAACCCATATCCGCCCCATACCCATGCAGAGGGAGGTTTTGCAAACTCATCCCATACCCATGGTTTTCGGATACCCATGGATAATACCCGTCTCGTATAAAATATTATTATATCTAAAGTTCAACATGTATGTCTTCAATTATAACACAAAACACACATAATAAATAACAAAAATCAACATAGTTATAGTATTTCTTAATAGGAAAAAGCATTCAATCCTCAAATAGTGTTTAATGAACAAAATTTGTTCCTCAAACCGCGAGGTCTGGAAGATATAAATTGGAGCCAAACACATCCAAACCACCATTAATGGCAAGCACTTGATTAATAAGTTGAACTCGGCAAGTGAAAGCTTCCTAATGTGCTATTTGGAAGGTAAGTACCCAAAACTGGCATAAGCTCATTAACCTGCGAATAAATCACAAGAAATTAAACAAAACAAAAAAAAAAAAACAGAAGCAAAGAGAGAAGGTCACCACCATGTCGATTTCGTTATTCCTTCACAATCGTAATAGAGTTCTTCACCTTTTCGATTTTGTGCGTCTTCTTATTCCTCCTTCCACTGCCGTTCTCTTTGCCTTCTATGTCTTTGTAAACTGCGACCAGGGGATTTGACCAGGGAAAATTAATTCTCTGTTGTTGCTTCTTCTTCTTCTTCTTCCTCTTAGCCTTTTTTGTATTCATGAAAGTCCTCATATGTTGACCAAACTAAGACTTATCACAAACACCCAATCAAACTGAAAGGAAGTCGCCAAACTTGAACTACCTGGCTTTGCCTTCTTTCTACTCCGCTAACTTAATCATCCTTATTCTTTCCTCTGCAAACCCAACGCTCATTTTCCACTTTCTCCTGCCATCATCGAGTTCCCGCCGTCGTTCCTTCAATTTGAAAGAACGGGCAAAAATGATGAACCAAATCCATGTAGTATAGTAAGGAAAATCATAACGTAGACCCAAAAATCAACACACTAAATAAGAAGTCAGAAAGTGAATATTAACGAAAGAGAGTCAGAAACCCACCGCCGCCGCTAACCCATCCCTCGCCTTTTCTCCTTATGCGAATACAAAGCTCGTTTTCTTCTTGTATGGTTCACTCTCAGTAATCATAATTTAGTTTCGTCGTCGTCTCTTTGATCAGAAAAGAATTGGAGAAGATGATGAACCAAATCTATCAAGTACGATGGGCTAAACCCAAATTTAGAACTAAATATCCGGAACAGAAAGGAGACTGAAATGGAATATCAATGAAAGAGGGCGAGAAACCTACCAGTTGCAGCTGGGATCTAAACCATATCTCAATTATTTATGCCTTCTTTGGAACTCGGCTCCCCTGGTTTCCCCTGTTTTCCTTGGCTTCGAGGGGCTTGTAGTCGCCGAATTCGCCGAAGACGTGGTCTCCTTCTAAGCTGCGATAAGGACATAGGAGGTACAGGAAGGGTTGGCCTATCAATTTAGTTGGGTACACATGGAAACTCAATCAGATAAAACTAAAGATAAGCGAAGTAAATGATGGAAACAATAATAGGTAATATGCAGATCAGACTACCATATCCAATTGCGAATAGAGGAATTGCGGGCTTCCCCAAAACGCATATATATCAGACTAACAAATCTGACAGTGCGAAGCAACCGGGCAAAACAAACAGAAAAAATTACTGACTCCCCTTCAAATCGTCGGTTGGCTGGCAAGGGTTCAACGCAGAACTACATAATCCGGATTGAGAGAAGCAGCAGGAGCAAACTAACCGAAACAATCTCGCCTCCCCTTCAAATCGGCGGTTGGCTGGAGAATCGTTCACCGCATAACTACCAAATCCGATTGTTCGAATCAGCGGGGGTAAAAAAATACCACAAATCATGACTCACCTTCGATTCGCCGGTTGGTTGGGGAATTCACCGTCAATTAGCCGCAGGTCTTCCTCGCTCAATCAGGTGTTCGCCGCTCGTTCCAAACTGCAGAATCTCGGCACGGTAAACTCCACATCAGCGGGCCGTCAATGCCTTCCTCCGCTGAGCAGCAAACGTCAGTCCCTGTTCCCAAAATTGTCTGCTGAGAAATGGATATCCTGCCGTGCTGCGGGAAGGAGAAAGCAAAACGTAGATAACCCCGGAGAAAATGGAAGATGATTTCAGCCGCAAAAAAAGTAATGGGAACCGACGGTTTCTTATCTCTCCTGTCAGGCAGGAATTTTTAATTTAATTCCGCGTAACCACCCTGCCACGTCAGACTCCTAAAATCACTCTATGCGCAGGAAAATTTGAATGGGGGTTGCGGTTTTACTTTTCAGCTATAAATTATACTGTTGATGTATTTTTGGTGTATATATTCAGGTTAGTTCGTTGTTTGTATCCTTCCTTTTTTTGACCTCCTTTCTGGCTGGACGGAGGTGGTGGTGGCGGTGGATCTTTCTCTGAACACCCGCTCTCGCTCGCCTTCTTCTTCCTCCTCTCTTTGCTCCCATGGAGTAAACCAGACCTCCCCACTCCGCCAGCTTCCGATTTCTTTTGGGAGGAGCAAAAAACTTTTGCTGCTCCCGCTGGCTCTATAATTCGTATTTTTGAAGCTTTTTGTCATTGGGGGGCGCGCTCAAATGGGGTCTGAAACCATCTCTGGCTCGGAGAAGGAGAATTCGAACGATAGCGCCGAAACCCTCGTGATGTTGAATGTCTACGATCTCACCCCTGTCAATGATTACACCTACTGGTTCGGTTTTGGGATTTTCCATTCTGGCATTGAAGGTCTGGCCTTCTTCTCCTTCCTTTTCCCTTTTCTGGGTTCTTGTTTTATATATAGAGCTGCTTCTTGCGGGGGGGTTTTCTGCTTTCCAGCATAAGGGTTTTGGGTTTTTGCTATTGTTCTCTTGTTGGGAATTGTTCGAATCCGGCTCCTTTCGTCTGCTTTCGTTTCAAGATTTGAGAATTTGTGCTTGATCCTAGGCAGATTGAGATGGGGAATCTCTATGGGAAACTTTGAAGAATTTACCGTGTTAGTTTGTATTGGCTGATAAAGGGATGCGATCTTTCCGTAAGGTTTGCCTTTGTGAGAATTTGAGGTCAGGGGAAGCTGTTGGAGTAAAGAAGTTAGAATGATGATTCCTCCTGCTCGTCTTCTCTTTACATTTTTAGCAGCTTGTAGAGTAACTTCCTTTCGTGGGAAATGGGAATAGCGTAGCAACTTTGATTTAAACCACCTTATGTGGTTCCTTTGATCTTTCTTTGCTTTAGTTCAGTTACCCTCCTATCGTTTTCAGTTTCTTAATGGTGTTTGACTTTGTCTTCTGGCTTTGGATTTCGACTGGAACATGAGATACTGCATTCATAGAAGAGGAGGTTATGATCCTGCATGAGTTGTAGAAAGTTGGTGTAGATTTCATCTAGCGATCCTCACAATATGACAATTTAGCACACTCTAATACTAATGTATAGGTCTTTCTCTGTTTATTGTTGGGCCGAATCGCTTGCCTGATGTTTGGATATATGTGTTGGGCGTGTTGTTTCAACAGTTCATGGGAAGGAGTATGGATTTGGAGCTCATGACTTCCCAATTAGTGGAGTTTTCGAAGTCGAGCCAAGAAACTGCCCCGGTTTCATTTACAGATGTTCCATCCCAGTGGGGACTATAATGATGCCGCCTATAGAGTTCAGGACTTTCATTGAGGGTATGGCTTCCGAGTATCATGGAGACACTTATCACCTCATCTCCAAGAACTGCAACCATTTCACAGATGATGTAAGCTCCAGGTTGACAGGAAAGAGAATCCCAGGCTTTGTAAATCGCCTCGCTCGCCTTGGTATGCAGAAGCCTTGTACCAATTACGATTGAGACATTCAAATACCATTCAGAAGTGGTTGCCTTTTAGTTTGTTTGACATGTATCAGAATCGATACCATTGTTTGTTTTTTGAAATACTGCAGGTTCCCTATGCAGTTGTTTGCTTCCTGAAAGCCTTCAAGTAACTTCAGTGAAACAGCTACCTGAGCACCACGATTTATTGGGTAAATACTGCATTTTCTTAGACTTGTATATTTGATTGTACATGTATTTTGTCAGAATTTCTTCTCAAACCTGTGATGAAATTGCTTTAAATACAGAAGACGATGGAAGCGAGTCTCTGACAACTGGCACCCCACCCTGTGAACAAATGGAAATCGATGATACTGATCAAGAGAGGCACCTTCTGTCTCCAAGCAATGGAGCTGCAGAAGTATTGTTTGTCAGAGAGAGAACTCTAACAGAAGAAGAAAAGCTGCCTCATTGAGGGTTGAATACAAACGAAAGAAGATAGCATCTTTTTACCCTTTCCAAACCCACTGCTGCAGTATTCTTCGAGACACGATTCCAAACGTAGGACACAGGGATATAGGATCCTCTATTTGCTTGCTTTTTTCCATGCAATCCTGTAGAGGATGCAAGGAAGAAGAGCCTCACAAGTCACAACACCTGGGTTAGTGCTTTTTGCTGTTGGCTTGCATTTTTTCCCCTTTGTCTTCTGATTTTTGTTGTATCATTGTTAGGTTTGCCTCTTGATTGTCATATATGGCTTCCACTCCACTTTGGATTGTGCCACAGATTGCTCCCACAACCTTTCTGTTTCGGTCTGTTGAAAGGAAAGAATCCAGAAAAAACTAGTTACCTGTTAATGGTCTGTAATTGTATTCATACCCTGTACTGGCACCTTTCTAGTTAGTGGAAATGACTTCTTGAAATGGATTGAGAAGTCAGAATGGTGTTATTTTCATCAGTGTAATTGTGTTGCTTGTAGAAAGAAGGGTTCAACCTAATACAATTGATGGGTGGGATTGGATTGGATTGGATTGGATTGGATGTGTACTTTGCTTTGTGGATTCTAACCCTTAAATTGGGTCTTTTTTTGATAGATCATGTATCATCGTTTTGATTTGTGTATGTTGTATTATATATATTCCACTATTGTACTCCACCAGGCATCAAAAGAAAGTACACCAAATGGATTCAATTGTACATTATGGTCGTCAAAATACCACATAATATATGTATCAAAGAGTAAATACTAAATTACATTCAATCTCATGATTCAGAAGAGTAGCAAGTAACCCAAGTTTCTCATTGCTCATAATACACTAATAATGTGAACCACCACCGGATAGCCTTGCATATCTAGAACCACTTGTGGCTCCATTGGTTTGTTTCATCAGTTGTTAACATCCCTCTTTCCAGACTTCCACTTCCCATGTTACTTTGATGAGGAGCTGGTGTCGAGCCCCAATTTGGAAGATAGCCAGGCGCATACCTCGTCCATCTCTTGAGGGATTGTGTAATGTCCAAGGCTGTAGTACGATTCAAAGAAATTCACGATTATTACTAAATGCTTCGAGATGTTTGATTAGGGTCCTTGAGACTAATGCATCTGCAGCAAACATACCTGTTATATGATTTGAACGTTACATCTTTGAATCCAAGCGAGGTCAACACACGAGAGGACTTCTCGCCGTATTTGTGTGAGACCACGTCATCAGCTGCAACAGCCAAACAACAACAAAAAGAAGAAAGTAGAACGCCAATCTCTCCCAATGAAAGTGATGCGAACTGAGACCGAACAGGAAATTCAGAAGTTTACCTTTTCCATGACATAACAAAGTAGGGAGAGATGCAGCACGGTCAGCTGCTCCATCCGCTCCTTCGAGCTGTTTACCCAATGTCCTGAAATATAAGAATAATAGTTGACTGGTACAGAATTTGACATGGAACAGAATAACAATGAGAGAAGAGCCAAGCAGAAGAAGTCGAACTTTGCACAGGGAAGCCAGCCGCTTAATCCAACAACAGCACTCAAATTAGCTGTAAACGGGTTGCCATTTGCATACTTCCCAACCGAGAAGCAGGTCCCAGAGTATAGAGCGGTCGCTGAACCCATACTGAAGCCTCCAATGCCTATTTTAACTGTATAAAAGCCCACACGTTTCAAAGAGTGCATACAAGTTTCATGGTAATAGCCTGAAGATGCAAGAAGTCACTGCAAGATAACACCTACTATCAGCAGGCTCTGTTGACAATAAGTTTGCAACGTGTGTTGCAGCAGCATCCAGACCCTCCAAGTCATCTGGAGCATCCTCCGAAAGTTCCTCAACATCAAACCCTAATTTCATCGAGTCGAGGTTCAATTCGTTGCAAATAAACATGATAACACCTAATCATATGAAAGAGAACTGAAGTTTGTGTGGTAATTTCTAGCGAACTGGTTAAAATGAGTCTATTGGGCAACCAAAACTTACATGCTGTAGATGGGAAACCACCAAACAGAGTTACAGGTCGAGTTGGAGCGGTTGGACATATCCATTTAATCTGTGTAGACAAGACCAATTAGCCGAGTACAGACAACTTAAAACGATGTCACTTGTTGGAACACCAAAGAAGCGGCTTACACAAGTTTTTGTAATGTCATTTTAAAAGATCTTATCCTTACATTTGGAAGAGGGAGGGCTTCCAAGAGCTGGGACCAACTGCCAGGCAAACAAGATCAACACAAAGAAAATCAATATTGGAAACAGATGCAGAAACAAGAACTTGCAAGTAAACATTAAAAAGAAACTGCGCAGATCAGCATGTCTTCCAAAAACGTTTTGAGTCACTGTAACAAAAGCTCGATTCCAGCACCACAGCAAGCAGGAAAAAATGGATTGGTCTGAAACACAAGCCTCTCCTTAAATGATATTGTAAAACAGCACAACAGGCATAGTATAAAATGTTCGAACATCATGCAAACTCCATTGCGGAACTGGTGAAGAAAAATGCTTAAGAGCATTGTTGCAGCCAAAGGGGTCAAGGGGGAGAAAGCAGACTTCTAACCTAGATGGCTTGTAGTACAGACCTTCCTACTCTCATTATGGAATACTACCATACAAAACTTGTTCTTGGTTTGTACAAAAAGTACCTCCCTAACAAGAAACCACTAACAAGGGCAAATTGAGAATACCTTGAGCCATTATCACCAAGTCCATGCAGCCAAACCACAGTCGCTTGATGTTTGCCCTTGGGCCTAACCACATATGTCTTCCCAAAATCGAATGCTCTTCTAGCAGTCTTCCCACCTGTAAACGAACCCAATCACGTCAAGATGATGACAAAAACTTCCCATATCCAAAAAAGAACAGCTAACCTGGAACTCATTCTCACATTCCAGCATCCCCAGTCAACTGAACAAACATGCAAGAGAAAGCACTGGGCACCCATAAAAACTCACCAGAAGCCATCGACGGACCCGTGAAGCTCATATTTGACAGCAACAGAACCGACCCAATAATCCCAAGCAGCACGAAACCTACAACCGAAGGAAGGATGGCCAAAAAATCCCGTCAAAAAAATCATACGGCAAGAAATGAAAATCTTGGATACATAGTGGAAACAAGATTTCAACCGTTGGAAACCTAAACGAATTCGAGCCTCCATCGATTCCATCTCCTTCCCCCCACATTGCCAAAACCGAATCTCGAAAACCCACATCCACCAAGCAGTAAATGGATAAAACGGACCGGAAAGGAGAAGATCCACTCCGAAATTCAACACAACAGGAGGTTCCCGACGAGGCCGTCGGATCATCGGCTAAAGTATGATTTCTTCGGGAGCGAAAATTTACAGAAGGCGGCGGAGGAACGAACCTTTAGACGGGGCGCAACCGTCTCGAACCCGGAACGGCGAAGCAGCTTCACAGGCAGCAGGTGCCAAAAGACAAACCGGTGCTCTCTTCTCCTCCGCAGGGAAAGAAAACAAACCAAAATAACTGCAACTTTTTCGGATGACGTAAATCATAGTACCCTTTTATTTCATTACTGAATTGTTTTTGTTTTGGCGTTTTATGTGTTAGTTATGCTGTCGTTTGTACCCAGTCTATGGCTGTGTCCGGGTCTCGGTTTTCCCCGCTTGGGCTGGGGTTCCGACCCGGTTAGTTTACCCACAGAGTGTTAGGATTATTCAGATTGGAAGGATATGTTCAAAAAGTTCATTAACTTTTTGCCTATTTTTTTTTCCATTTTTAAAGCAAGTGGGCATCCAGCATCCTATTCCTATCTTGAATCTTCAACTTGACAAACCTAAGTTACACCATAGGCGGGAAAACAACCCTAGAGAAGTTAGCACTGCAAGACAAGAATTAAGGATTACTCAACCGTGGCGTACTGTGGGTCGACGGACCATAAAAGTTATTTATTATTGTTAAAATCGGTATAATAACAGTATTTTCAATATGTGGCTTTAAAAAAATTAAATCATGTGATCGACTTTGTTATTGTTTTCAACCTTTTAGAGGGAACGTAAGTCTCTTCGATTAGGTTTATTTCCCACCTTATGTCAAGAGTGAAGTTGGGTATGGGGACTCAAACTCGTAAAGAATTAACACAGGATGAGTGTTACTACTAAAGAATAAATACGATTCCCGAGATATCATAAGCTAAGTAATCAACTTATTTGCACTAGTAAATCATATGAATGATCATAAGCTAAGTAATCCAGCTATTTACCAGATATTGAGAAAATACCCAATTTGCTTGCATTGTTGGTCCATAGTTTGAAATAGGTATGAATCAAGAAACGAATCACATTATACCATTTAAGCATCACATAGGGGTGGGCAACGGGACGGGACGGGTATCCCGTCCCGTTTGAAACGGGTACCCGTTCCCATTTGGAGAACAATATCCATCCCATATCCCAACCCGTACGGGTTAACGGGTACCCATTACCCGTACGGGACGGATAACGGGTACCCATACTACCCGTAAATAACCATCTAATTGGAAGTAGCAGCAAATCCACCAAAAAAGGAAATTTGACTATTAGAACCTTTCTCTGCTTCTCTTCTAGTGTCATTGTGATGTTGAATTAAATGTGTAGGAAATTTCACTATTGGATCTACTGCATCTGTCACTATATGTTGAATGTGGTCTCGTTACCACTCTGGCCACATTTCAACAGAGTTAGTAGCATCAGACCACTCATTACCACTCTAAATTTTTTGGAGTAGCTAGTTAACAGGGAATGGCCAGAAGCTCGGTTACTCCTTTATGGTTCCTGTGCTAATAATTTTGAAGTTTTAAAGAGTGATGTTGATGTCTGCCATGCAATTGAAGATGGTGATGCGAGAATAGCTTTCTCTTTGCGCACAACTATATAGAACTTTGATTTCCTAGGTCCTTAAGGTATATGCATAGATTAACAAAATAGGAATGTGGTTAAATGGGTCAACCGTTATGGATTTGGAACCATAAAGAATCTGTTGCAGAGGTTTAGTAGCGGCAGAGTTACGGTGGTAGTGTTTGGGCTTTTGGACTAATGGGTATAACGGGTACCCAAAGTAGTGATTCACGATCCCAAGTCCCATCCCGTAAAAAAAATTACGGGTATTTGGGTACCCGTAACCCTCTAAAAACGGGACGGGTACGGGTATACCCAAATACCCGTTTCCCGTTGCCCACCCCTAGCATCACACCCCTTTTGAGGCTTGAGTTTGATTTGGATAACAATGATGAATAGACTCATACATGTGATCCCTTGCCACAAAGTTGAGGTTCAATTCTTTATTATTTTTATGGTGACAATAATGTGTTGTCGAGTATAGCTTATATTCGTTGACCTTATAAGTCACTGACCTTAGGCAGCAGTGACAATAGAAACTCACATTTGCATGTAATTGGACGATCAACCTTAATCACAAAAGTTCGATTTGAAATACTTTAGTAAAATGGATAGAATAATACAATAAATGAATCATTGAGATAAGCCTTTAGATATTAGACTATCCTAAATATAACTATAAGTCATTTGATAATGATTTTCCCGACACGCTTAGAGGATAGTTATATCACCCTAATAGGAAAATGCTCTTTTCTACTTTTATTTTCGAAAAAATCTAGCCAAGTGTTTGGACTTTGGAGTTTCGACCAACCGTGTACTAGCTAGCTTCAAGCCTCTAGCTCCTAAAACCCAATAGTGAATTAGTCAATACCATTAATTAAATTAATTAACCGCGTAATCATTTGAACATTTCTTCAATCACCAAACCGGCAAAACCTCTCTTTCTCCGACGGCATTTTCGGCCGGGAAAGAACTCAGGGACTACCTGATTACTGATTAGTACAGAAGTCACCGGCGAATAAGCTTAACCCACCAACTATATACATCTCCGTCTAATTAACTTCAACTCAAGTATTTTGTAATTGTGATTTATGTTTCAGTTCCAGTTTACAGCATGGACCTGAAAACCAAAAAACAAAAAAAGACGGCAGCATACCAGCCGGCCGGCAGCTACCTGCCGGAGATAACCGACATGGTGAAAGAACCCGACAAGACGGCGGCGACGGGAGTGTCATCTACTTTCACTATCGGCACCGCCACCAACCTCCTATTATTATTATTCTGAACTTCCCGGGAGGAGTCCTCATCCATGGACAGCATGTCAACGAGCATCATCTGCGTCTCCGGCGGCTGACCCACCGCAACTCTGCCTTCGAGCATCTCCACCACCGTACCCATCGTGGGTCTCAACGGAGCCTCCTCCTGTATACACCAAAACGCCACATGAACCAACCGCGTCAATTCCCTCTCGTCAATTCCGCTGCCGCCGTTCTCCAGCAATCTCCGATCCACCACTTCGATGAGCTTCCCTTCCCTCATCCTCTGTTCCACGATTCTGGGGAAGTACTCCCACTTGCCCCTCTTCTCCTTCCCCGATCTCTTCCCCCGGCAGACGTTCCGCCTCCCGCCGACCATCTCCAGTAGCACCATCCCGTAGCTGTACACATCCGATTTCTCCGAGATCCCGAGCTCGAGAAGCCACTCTGGCGCCAGGTAGCCTCTTGTTCCTCTTATGTTCGTGATTACTCTGCTCTCGTCGCGGCGCATCAGCTTCGAGAGCCCGAAATCGGAGACGATCGCTCGGTGGTTCTCGTCGAGGAGGATGTTCTCCGGCTTTACGTCGAGGTGGAGGATCCTCGACCGGCAGTCGCTGTGGAGGTAATTCAGCGCCTTCGCGACGTCGATTGCGACTCTGTATCTGAGGTCGAATGTCAAGCACTTAGGGTTAGGGTTTACGTTTCCCCCAATTTTTTTGGGGAAAATCCAGCAATCGAGGGATCCGTTGGGGACGAAGTCGTAGACAAGGTAGCGAGACTGATTGGGGACGATGCAGTAGCCGATCAGCCTCGCGAGGTTGAGATGCTGGACGCTGGCGATGGCGGCGACCTCAGATCTGAACTCCTTCTCGCCTCGGGCCTCGGGACCGATCCGCTTCACCGCCACCGCGGTCCCGTCGCTGAGAACGCCCTTGAAGACCGAAGCGGAAGCTCCCCTGCCGAGGAAGGACTGGAAATTGGCGGTGGCGTCCTCGATTTCTTGGTACCGGAACTTGGTCGGGACGCAGGCGACTTTCCGGAGGAAACTGTACTCGATGCGGAGCTCCCGGCTCTCGGAGACCATCTGGGTCTTGAGGATTTTGCTCCGGTTGTTGTAGCGGCGGCGGATGAAGAGGTAGGAGACGACGGCGAGGATGACGGCGACATCGGCGCCGGCGATGAAGAAGAAGGGGCGGGAGAGCTTGAGGGAGACCCGGGCGACGATTATGAGGATGACGAGTAAGGCGATCGTGGTGCAGGCGAGTATGTTTACAGTTCTGTTCTCCATTCAGAAGCTGGACTTAGGGCGCCATTACTGCCGGCCGAGGCGAGCGGAGAAAAATAATGGATCGACGAAATCGCGTCTGTGTAAGAAAATTTGTGGTTTTACCGGTGAGAAGATGAAGGGGAAATGTAAGCATTTAAGAAATTGCTTCCTCCACTTGGGCCAATTGGCTTTGGGTCAATTGGTGCGGTTTGAATCTTTGAAAAGTTCAGGTACAACGACAATTATGATTTTGTTCTGAAATGACAAAAGTCGTTCAATTAGCTTTCTAGTCTTAGAACGGTACGTATCACAAAAACTTCTCAAGTAATGTGAAGACTAAAGAGTCAAATTAGGAGGATGTTTGTGGTTTACGGGAATTCAGGATTTTGGGAATCCAGATAATTTATGATTTGGGTACATATCTTGGGGTTTAAGTGCTTTAAGCGAGATTGATTGCAGGTATGGAGATTCTCAAACAAGATTTTAATGATGATAGAACAATCTCATGACTGAGAACATACGGAAGATTTCAACCTAAATTTGTTAAGAAGTTAGTTGGAGACTAATTTGATATGTGAAGGATATTTGGAAGTGGAAAGACTTGATATGCTAAGCATTTTCTCTAGCTGGCCTTTCATAATTGCCTTTCTTACCAACCATGAATGGGTGATGATGAATCTGACTACAAACGAGAGTCTCCGAAAGAAGTTGCAAGATTAAAAAAACAGATGGTTGTGAACTTGACTAAAGGAGAAGGATGTGGATTTCATAATAACTTGATGGTGAAACTAAGGAATGAAGAGTGTATGGGTGACAAGATTTATTATGAGTCTAGTCTTATATGTGTGATTGACTTTTGGTTCAACATCATTCCACAAGCCAAAAAGTGTCAAGCGGAGCATTTTCGCCCTGGAAGTATCAAAGACCAATCAAGTTCATGCTTTGAAACACCAACTTAAGGGTGGATCCAAGTCCAAATTGATGGTTGAATGAGATCCTGCTAAGGGCAAGTGGTTACTGAAGGTTGTTCAGGATTACTTAGGTAGGTGTACTTATGCGTTTGTTTGCAATCTGGGGACTTACTTTATTACAATAGTTGAGTTAAAGAGTGTTGCGAAGGGGTTGAGGATTGTACGACAAAGAGGATACAAAAAGATTTTCCTCAACCTTGATTGTTCAACAATAGTTGGCATCATAAAGAATGTGATGATTGATGACCACTAATTGTAAAGCAGATTGAAAATCTTTTGAGTTGTGATTGGGATGTGATTGTTAATAACGTCTATACAGAATGTCACTTTGCAACTGATTAACGCAGTCGAAAACCCCCGAGACTCGCAAAACACTCGTCTCCAGTTACCAAGCAAGCTTGCTAGCGCAAACTTGGAAGAAAAGTTTCGGAATCCACAGAGAATGACAACCCTTGGGTTTAATTAATCAAAAGTGAAAGTTGGTCTTTACTACAAAACAAAGGGTCTTTAAATAGACAACTAACTATGAAACCTATTGGAAAACTAAGTACTGAAACCGACTAAGAAAAGAACACAAAACATTAAAGAATAACAATTAAACAAATCCTCCTTCCACACGGCTAGCTTCTTCGATTAAGTACTGAAGCGATCGGAAACCCCCGAGACTCGCAAAACACTTGTCTCCAGTTACCAAGCAAGCTTCCTAGCGCAAGCTTGGAAGAAAAGTTTCGAAATCCACCGAGAATGACAACCCTTGGGCTTAAGTAATCAAAAGTGAAAGTTGGTCTTTACTACAAAACAAAGGGTCTTTAAATAGACAACTAAGTATGAAACCTATTGGAAAACTAAGTACCGAAACCGACTAGGCAAAGAACACAAAACATTAAAGAATAACAATTAAACAAATCCTCCTTCCACACGGTTAGCTTCTTCCTCCTTCCACACGGTTAGCTTCTTCGATCAAGTCCTCCAGCTGTGCTACATCAGTCTCCTCCAGCTGTGAAGAACTCGACCACGAGTTCGCATCGGGATAAAGCACACCATCCTTATGAAACTCATAAATGTCAGCGACATTAAAAGTGGTGGAGATATTCATAATAGGCGGTAAATCAATGACATAGGCATTATCGTTGATCTTCTTGAGCAATTTGAAAGGACCATACTTGCGAGGCTGCAACTTGGAATAAGAGCCAACGGGGAACCGCTCTTTCCGCAAGAAAACCATCACTTCATCCCCTGTCGCAAATACCTTGGAACGATGATGCGCATCAGCATCAACCTTTTTCCTTTGACCCGTGGCCTCGAGCTTTGCTTTAACCGCATCCTTGACAGCCATAACATTTGTGCCATATGTTCAGCGACTGTACTTACACCAGGGAGTTTGGGAAGAGCACGAGATCGACGACTTGTCGGGGGCGGTGTAGTGTAAATAAGAGCAAAAGGAGACTTTCTTGTTGCGGAATGCACCGCGCTATTATAGGCAAACTCAATATGGGGAAGTGCAAGATCCCACTGCTTGGGTTTATCTCCAAAAATGTTGCGAAACATGTTACCCAGCTTCCGGTTAGTGACCTCGGTTAGCCCATCAGTCTGCGGATGAGTCGTAGAGCTGCGATTTAAGGTGGTCCCCAAACATACACCATAACGCGAGCCAAAAATGGTTGAGAAACTTAGTATCATGGTCAGAAGTAATGGATTTGGGGACGCCATGCAGGCGAACTATTTCTTTGAAAAATAACTTGGCGATGTTAGAAGCATCCGCCGTCTTCTTACAGGCGATAAAGTGTGCTATTTTAGAGAATCGATCGACCACAACGAAGACCGAATCAACGCCACGCTAGTACGGGGTAAACCCAGTAGGAAATCCATTGACAGATCCAACCAAATATCATTAGGAACCGGTAGAGGCAGATACATACCGGTATTTTGTGATTGACCTATGGAACCCTGACACACGTAGCAACGTCAGACAATGGTGCTGACATTACGGCATAAATGAGGCCAAAAGAAGTGCTCCTCCAGGCTGGCGATAGTCTTGTCATGAACTAAATGACCATCGAGACCCCCGCCATGCAAATCCCTTATGAGCTTCTCGCGCAACGACGACCTGGGGATGCAAAGTCGATCCCCTTTGAACAAGAATCCTTCACGAACATGATAGTCAACTCGTGGATGTTGATATGTACAAGTGAACCATAACTCCATGAACTCTAGGTCAGATGCATATAACTCCTTTAGGTGTTCAAAACTCACAACCTCATGTGCCAATGTGATCAGTAGGGAAGCTCGCCTGCTCAACGCGTCAGCCACCTTATTTTGGTGCTCAATCGGTGTTGGATAGTGAATGGGAACTTCTGCAAATAACTTACCCAACGAGCGTGCATTTTGTTTATAATCTTCTGGCTATGAAGAAACTTGACGACGAGATGATCAGTGAAGAGAATAAACTCGCGTTGGATCAGATAATGCTCCCATTGCCTCATGGCACGAAATACAACATAGAATTCCTGATCGTAGGTGCTCCACTTTTGCCTAGCATCACTCATTTTTCGCTGAAGTAGGCGACATGTCGTTTTTCCTGTGAGAGTACTGCCCCTACGCCGACGCCGCTAGCATCACACTCAACTTGGAATATTTTGTCAAAGTCAGGTAAAGCGAGTACTGGAGCAGTGCAAAGCTTGGTCTTGATCAGCTCAAAGCTTTGTTCCTGCGCAGGGCCCAGTTGAATTTCCCTTTCTTCATGCATTCTGTAATGGGGGCAGTGATAGTGCTGAAGTCACGCAAAAATCGTCGATAAAAAGTAGCCAAACCATAGAAACTCCGCTCTTCTGATACCGACGTCGGTGGGGGCCAGTCCCGAATGGCGCGCACTTTTATCTTCATCCAACGGAATTCCTTCCTCGACAACTAGGGCTGGAAGTTTGGTACCAGAATTTGGGATATACCGAATACCGTACCGAATTTGTCTATATTTGGTATTACCGAATACACGTATTATTTGGTGGGATTGGGATTGAATTTCAATTGTTATTCGGGATTACGGGATTGGGATAGGGATATATACCCAAATACCGATCAATACCGAAATATAAGCTAGTGTGTAATTTAGCCTTTGAACTAGACTCTCTCATTCACTACTAGGCGACCCTCAACTACCAAGAGTGTCATTTAATTATACATAGATCATTCCATCACTATTTCACACTAGTATTAGTCGTCTCTCAACCTCAAATTCGTCAAATTAAAGATTACCAATTACAAGAACTTGAGATATTAGCTCTAGGCAACTCAAGACTCTTTGCTTAGTCTCTTTGCCCTAAATTAAACAATAAAATCTAATTTATATATTTAATTATTAATTAAAAAGATAATTAATTTTGTATTTGATAATACTGATTGGGATACCGAGGTACCGATTGGGATACCGAAATATTTAGGGATTGGGATTGGGATACCGAAATTATTTAGGGATTGAGATTGGGATTGACTTTAGGGTGTAATTCGGTATTTTGGATTTCAGTATTTGGTATTGGGATACCGATACCGTACCGATTTCCACCCCTATCGACAACAATAAAACCCAAGAACAAAAGTTTGCTTGTACAGAAGGTACACTTCTTCACGTCGACATATAACTCATTCTCTTGTCGGGCTTGGAGCACCATCCGGACGTGTTCCAAGTGTTCATCTTTGGACTTACTATAAATGAGAATGTCATCAAAATAAACCACTACAAAAGATCCAATGAAAGGGCGAAGAACCTGATTCATAAGACGCATGAACGTGCTAGGCACGTTAGAGAGCCCAAATGGCATGACCAGCCACTCGTACATACCATCTTTGCTCTTGAAAGCGGTCTTCCATTCGTCGCCAAGCCGAATTTGAATATGACGATAACTGCTTAGTAGATCAATTTTTTGGAACACCTTCGACCCGGACAACTCATCTAGCATGTCCTCCAGACAGGGAATGGGAAATATGTACGTGATTGTGATCTTGTTGATGACCCTGTTATTGACGCACATGCGCCATTGGTTTCCTTTCTTAGGT